GCCTCATCAGATATTTCCTTGAAAAAACTGTATCTCCTGAAGATGCTAACTTGATAAAACGCGGATCAAGAGGAGTAATGTATTTCTGGTGACTGAGAAAGGTGTTTTTTTATCATATGAATGGATTTCATTGGAGGACCTAGCATTCAAGATTGTTTCTGTTTGCCTTCTTCCACTCATGGTGATAACCAGATCATTTGTCGTGTGACTCTAATCGTGCAGCTTCGTTATTAAATTTTTGACAACCAACGATCATGGAAGTGACAATAGTTTGCCTCCTTCGTAACAGTCTTCTTCCACAATCACTCGAATTAGTTTATTCTCAGTCTTCTTCTGAGAATTGATTAGATTCATCTAATCATTGAGGAGTTTTATCTCCGTCCTTTGTTAAAACCGTTTGGCTGAAATATCAAATCAAAGTTTGAAAGTTATAATTTTAGTATGAAAACAATCGATTTTCAGCTGACCCCATATATTTATTAAAGGAATCTCAACATTCGGTTTTGCAGACGTTCGATCCAAACTAACTTCTTGAGTCTGTATTGTGTTGGAGATATCTCCACTGAATAATTTTTATGAACACCAGAACACTATGCGGTCCTCAAAGTCCTGAAAAAGGTGTCTATACCAAAATATAACGCATAAGAAGGTCGATCATTCCCAGTTAACCTATTCTACAGATTCCAATACAGAGTTCAGTCACCACAGTGGTTGCTATTCATTGTATACTGGGTTTACGCAATTCAAAACCAGACGTATATATTTCAGTCTCTCTTGTAATAATGCCAATTGCACTACAGAGGAAAGCAATTTCAATGTTTCCATTGTTTACGAAACCGAGCATTTTGAATAGGAAACAGATGTGAAACACACTCAGGGTTTTACATTGATTTGAACAAAGACAAACATATTACCTTGTACTATAGATTTGTGAAATAAATAATATCTTCGTATAATTTGACTGAGTGGGGGAAATGAACTGTTGTCCAATTATTGCTTTTGAAATATTGTGTAAGACACTTCATTCGGGATGTTTCTTTAACAATTCTCTTTAATTTACCCAACCAACTACTAAACGTGAATATTTGTCACGTTCCTGTTTCCATTTCATTCGTTCTTTTCATGCGAACAACTCATCTAGGAGTGTGAAGGATAATGTGAATATACTTAGGCCAGTCAACAATAGACACAATCTAGAAAAATGTGTTAGTTTTGGATAACATGCATATTGCTTGGAAGTAAAACAGGTAACCACAATTGATGATGGGTAAGTTTTCGATTATCAGATTATCATACCGAGACAAATTTCAATCAAATTCGATGGATGGGAACGTGCATTTTCCATGATTATATTCATGTCAAATATTGAGTGATATAATACACTAGTTTTCTTTTAGAGGAGTATATGTCTTATGTAAGCAACAGACTTATTTGGTCCATCAAAGAGCTAAACTCAATACACGTAAACTTTCATTAGAGATACACTGTTTGGAACCAATATTGAACTTTCTCTTGAAGATGATCACTTGGTGATCGAAACACGTGTCATGGTGATGAAAATAACGGTTTGGTGTTGGGATAAAACTCCAGTAATATTCATGTATACTTTCAAACAATATAACCTGCAACTCAGCCGTATTGATGATGTATAACAAATATACAAGATGGGAATTATCTTACGCGGCAAACACATGTGTGACGTCAGAAGACTCTATGAGTCGTTGGCGTCAGTGTGTTGTCAAGTGTGAATACTTGTCTGAAGTGACTATGACTATGAAGCGTACAATTTCAGTGAGTTTCATAACATATCTTTTTGGTAACACCAAATCAGATTCTGGTATCTCTTTTTGGTACTGATTTCAAGCCGTAATTTAGTATAAATAATCCTTATAAATTAGTGAATAATATTGAAAACGTAATTCTTCCTGATAACGGAAAATTAATATCGTTTGAAGTCCAAAATTGATTTTTCAGTATTCCGCCAATTGAAACAATTGAAATTGTTGAGCGTCTCTTAGACAAAAACCACATGAATCCACTAGTAAAACAGGAAATTCTAAATTAACTTACTATTTGTCTATCTCAAAATGATTTCCAGTTTGACGAAAAAATGAAAAGCGTTTTTATAAAACCGTGTTAGGAATCACACGTTAAAAGGTAAGACCTCGTTAATCCTTAGATCGCACAAGTTCCGACTTCTGAGGGTTGTCGTTCGTAGGGGTGCGACAGCTGATTACCGGAAAAATGTATTTTAAACAGATTTTTCAAACAGGTTTACTGAAAATCTCACAATAAAATGTTTTTTGAATACGTAAATTACAGTAGTATATATATCAAGAACATCAATCATTCCGCATATTTCTGGAAGAACATAATATCCTTCATTTTAGAAATATGACCGTTTTATGACTTGGGCCCTCATTTTGTGCTATCGACAAATTATGAACGGACTATAGAAAAATGTGTTAGTTTTGGATAACATGCATATTGCTTGGAAGTAAACAGGTAACCACAATTGATGATGGGTAAGTTTTCGATTATCAGATTATCATACCGAGACAAATTTCAATCAAATTCGATGGATGGGAACGTGCCTTTTCCATGATTATATTCATGTCAGGTATTGACTGATATAATACACTACTTTTCTCTTAGAGGAGTATATGTCTTATGTAAGCAACAGACTTATTTAGTCCATCAAAGAGCTAAACTCAATACACGTATACTTTCATTAGAGATACACTGTTTGGAACCAAGATTAAACTTTCTCTTGAAGATGATCACTTGGTGATCGAAACACGTGTCATGGTGATGAAAATAACGGTTTGGTGTTGGGATAAAACTCCAGTAACATTCATGTATACTTTCAAACAATGTAACCTGCAACTTAGCCGTATTGATGATGTATAACAAATATACAAGATGGGAATTATCTTACGCGGCAAACACATGTGTGACGTCAGAAGAATCTATGAGTCGTTGGCGTCAGTGTGTTGTCAAGTGTGAATACTTGTCTGAAGTGACTATGACTATGAAGCGTACAATTTCAGTGAGTTTCATAACATATCTTTTTGGTAACACCAAATCAGATTCTGGTATCTCTTTTTGGTACTGATTTCAAGCCGTAATTTAGTATAAATAATCCTTATAAATTAGTGAATAATATTGAAAACGTAATTCTTCCTGATAACGGAAAATTAATATCGTTTGAAGTCCAAAATTGATTTTTCAGTATTCCGCCAATTGAAACAATTGAAATTGTTGAGCGTCTCTTAGACAAAAACCACATGAATCCACTAGTAAAACAGGAAATTCTAAATTAACTTACTATTTGTCTATCTCAAAATGATTTCCAGTTTGACGAAAAAATGAAAAGCGTTTTTATAAAACCGTGTTAGGAATCACACGTTAAAAGGTAAGACCTCGTTAATCCTTAGATCGCACAAGTTCCGACTTCTGAGGGTTGTCGTTCGTAGGGGTGCGACAGCTGATTACCGGAAAAATGTATTTTAAACAGATTTTTCAAACAGGTTTACTGAAAATCTCACAATAAAATGTTTTTTGAATACGTAAATTACAGTAGTATATATATCAAGAACATCAATCATTCCGCATATTTCTGGAAGAACATAATATCCTTCATTTTAGAAAACAAACTCTTACTACTAGGCTTTTAAATTGTGATTACTAAATGCATATTTCCATAATTTTCCAAGAAGCTTCTGTTGTCGATCCCTTCTGCTCATCGTGATTATGTTTACCAGCGAAATTAAATTTCTCCCTAGTGTGTTTGTTCTATGAAAAGGCCACTAGAGGTTATGTTATTCTGGGTGGAAGTTCATGGAACTCCCTCATCCCTGCTGAAATTGGAAGTAGATAGGCAGAAGAATATGAAACTGGCAGAAAATGATCGTATCTTACAATCCTTCTCTTAGACGAAGGTTTGACACATGCTGTTGAACCGCGTTGAAATTAATCGAGTACTAGGCACTTCGCTGTTCGAGTCGGATCTTCACTGCACTCATGAAAAGTAATACTCCGAAACTGGTCTGTAGGTGATCCACTCGAATAATTTCAGCTTGGTCCTGCTGCTGAATGAATGAGAAACAT